TATCGGCTAACAAATTGCCCATAAGTGAATTCATTGTTTTCGAAGAGAAAGGATAATTATACTTCAGGCCGGAAACCCAGTGGTCGCTGGTTCGAATCCCGCCACGGTCCAAATTTTTATTTCACCTCCAACCATCACCTAGTATAATTTATACTTCCTTCAAACCATACGATCATTGCTGCCAGTAATTAATCAAAATAGAATAAATTTCATTTTAAGTCCAGTGACATAAAATATAACACATTTGAATTTAGAGGTAGTATTCATCAAGGACTGATATCAGTTGAGGAAGCACTGAAAATATGGGAGCACTGGACAGCTGTTTCGTCCTAGTATGGGACTCCTCAGCAGTACATACCCACAACCAGGCTAGGGATCGAACTATAGACCTTCAGGTTTCACGGCAAACACGTTAACCATTCAGCCACTGGGTCGGTTTTTCAGTAGTTCTCACTTTCCAACTTCTATCAATTCACAATATAGCGCGATTGTCACCCAAAGTGTCCATTTGCCATCCGCTTCAATTCCGACTGGTTGACCTCCACAATGCACAGATCTCAAAAATACATTTGAATCGCTTTAACACCAACCATAATTGCACAAGTGATGCATAAATAAGCCTTAATTACGTAACAATTTGGAGTACATGTTCAATCACATCTCAACATGTAAGTCGATTGACTAAAACTAAGTAGATCAATAGGAGACATTGAATATTTATTGGACTAGTGACTTCATAGGACTCATTTACAGTAATGTGTAGCAAAACTATTAAGCTCGTAATTTCATTATCAAAAGCAGCATGGAAATAAGAAAGAGATCATTCTCTATAGAAGTGATTTTATCTTTGCTATAAAACTCTACTAGATCCAATAAACAGTTATGAGTTGTTAAGGTGTTTTTCAGACAAACAGTAATAATAGCTGATTGTAATGACTTGTATGTTTGCTATTTTAATCATTATAAATTATACATTTAATCAAAATATACCGAATAGAAATAGAGAAATAGCTCAGGAGTTCGACTGATAGCTAAAATTAAGTGTAATTCAAAGGGCTAAAACAACTATAATCTTCAACTAAGTGTCTGGTGTTTCTGTTGTAAGAAATTTCACACCAAAAAATATCCATGCAACGATATAAATATTCTTAATTAAGGTAATGTGAATATATATATATATATATATATATATATATATATATGTTGCTGCTTGTATTATTCCGTCGTTGAGTAGACCGAATTGATCGATCTCTGTCAGCATATTGTCTCCTAAGCGGATGCCTCGATGTTACATGTGTCGATTATAAATACATTTTGGTAGGAATATGAGTTGTTGATCCTCCTCATATTCTCTCACGATACAAAGTGATAAGAATGGATTTTTGTTTTAAACACAGGAAATATCATATTCACAGATGAGTATAGATAATAGTTTCTTATTCTCTTTTTATGAAGTAACTTGTTTGTGTAAAATTTTGTCACTACAGCAGGTGGATAACAACTGAAAAATGATCAATCATTGTAATGAATATTATTTACTTACTATTGTTAGTCTTAAACGTAAACGTGACTTAGGCATATGGACTGTCAATGTCATTGGTATTATTAGGATATATGAGAGTACTGGCAACAAAAGTAAAAGTAGGAACCAGTATATACTGAGAATTAGAAATTGTTGACCCTTTACGCTATAGCGAATTAAGAATACTTGACAGTTTCCTAACAAATGTTGCAAATGTACAGCTCTACACCTAGACATAATTGACTGACCAAACGTGCTTTAAAGTACTACTATTATTACTCCTACTATAAAATATCGTTTTTTTCTGTTGTTGTTGCTATTATTATCATCAACATTGTCACAAGAAGTTATGAAACAGATTGTTTCTTGCAACATACAATCTACCGATCACGTATATTATGGACACAAACAATTCAGATTATGTATAATTGCGATATACAGAACTTGTAATGAGACGCTGTGACTTGTGGGGTCAATCAGTAGGAAGTGAAGTGGATGCCTACAGAAAACCTTAGTGGATAGTCGGGGCTATATTACGAATAGTGGAAAATTATAAGTTCGACCTAGTCGGTAAAGAGTTAACGCGTCCTCCATGAAATGTGCAGATTCTGAGTTCTATCCCTGCCCGGGTTGTGGGTGCAAACTGTTGAGGAGTCCCATACTAGGACGAAATAGGTATCCAGTGCTCCCAGATTTTCAATGATTCTTCAACACATGTCAGTCCGTGGTGAATACAACCTTTATTATTACTATTACTTTTATAGATAGTTTTTACAACAAATTATGACGCAGATTTATTCTTCTTATTTATGAACTACCATTCATATAAAATACGGATATAAGCAACTCAGATAAGACGTAATTGCAGTATACAGATAACAACTTAATTCGTGTAGATGCATAAAAGTTTGATAACTACAAACAAGTGAACAAACCCATTTCCTTACAGTTTTCTCTCACTCATTTCATTTGATTTCATTATATCATTCATTCCAGAAATAAACTGTCAATAAGTAAGGAGAACGGAAATAAAAGTATTCCATATATATGATCACTGAAATGTACTCTTTTATCAGTAGTAAAAATATTGAAAATATGCCGAAATGGATTCCTGCTAATATAACCTAATGGATGGATGTTTATTTACCAGATTATTCTTACTGGTTGGAAAGAGTAATTATTAAATAAAGTATTCATTATTACTAAACTAAGACTAACAATAATAAAGGTATACTATATACTCTTTCTAGAATTATTCATTTGGTTAACGATTTGTGTGACTGTACTGATTTATACATAACAGAAGATCAACTCAAAGAAAAGTTATGCAAAAGCATTAATAAATATAAAAACGACTGTCACAACAACAAAAATATCAAATACGTTTTATCAGATGGACATATACTGGTTGAACAGATGAAAAGACCCTAGAAGATCTGGATTTCGTCGATGATGATTTATGTCTAATGTCGCACAAACTTGAAGACCAACTCGCGAAAACTAACAAGTTGACAGAAGAGGCAGGGTAGTGAAGGAAGATGGCACTTCCTTCAGGTGGACGTAGAGAAGACAGATGTGATGAAGATACCCAACCAACAACGACAACAACAAGAAGGAGCACCAATGACCATCAACAAGAGAAACCTAAACGAGGTTGCCTCTTTCACCTACCTAGACAGTATCATTCCAACTACAGGCAGCACAGGCACACGAAACGATGTAAAGCCAGACAAGATCGGAAAGACAGCAACATGGTTCTTCCTGCATTAACCTGCATTAACCTGAAATCAGTGTGGACATCTACTACACTTCACTGCACTGAACTGAACTGCACTGCACTCACCATACAGCGTGAACAATATCCAGATTGTCAACATTAATGTCAGTCAAGTAAGTCAGTGCTTCCATGTGATAGTTGAGAGACTTGGCACGTCACGCAAAGCATTTCCAACTAACTACAAACATACATCATCAACAGCTGACACCTACGCTCAGTCAATACTGAAGTTCAGATCAGATAGATGGCCAGAATAATGAGAATAAGCAACAAGGAACTCATTCTGGCTGACCGGCTGGCTGGCTGGCTGACAACAAACCAATGATGCAAGAACCTATCGTCCAACAAATATATTCAGAAGGGGAAAGTGGAGATGGATTCGATTGTATTGTATTCTATTGTATTGAACATTCATTGAGGAGACGGTTTGGGAACATTACAGGCCCGGTTGGGCCAGGTTGTCGAGGGGATCCCAAATGGGAAATGACGAGTCGGGTATCCGAGGTGAGTGTGACATGGAGGAGATTGTGTGAGGAAGAAGTGGAAGCTTGTGGGCAGTGATGGAGCCAGGTTGAAAAGACTGGAGAGAAGAGAGTGAAATGGTGACGTGCTACTGAAGCCCTATGTTCCACTAGGAACCTACGGAACCAATAATAATAATAGTAAGTTTTATCAGTGAAATGTGCAAATGCAAATGTCCAGAAAGCATCAAGTCTTAAAATGGCATGATTAATCAGAAGTGAGAAGAAAAATTGATTTGATGCTCGGTTTGCCAAGAGTGGTCCATGGATTGCTCACGGACTACACTCCTTGGCTACAGATGAAAGTCAATGGATCAGGACCTGCATACTAGCATTCAAATTTCTCAAAATTCTAATGAGAAGTCATCCTCGGTGACGATTTGAGGACAGATACTCAACAACGACGTTAGATGAAGTAGGAAAACCTGGACCAGAGGATTCCAAGTCAGTGGCTCAATGATGACGTGCTTACCACAAAAACTGAATTTCCCAGGTTAGATCACTGCTACGATAATGGGTGCGTTCTCATGCCTTGGTGAATAATACTTTGGCGTTTGAAGTAATGGGTAATGAGTACGAGTCTCAGGTGGAGTACATCAGGTACAGCCATCCGACGAGTCCCAAACAGGACGAAACACACATCCTGGATTTCACTGTTAGCCACTAAGCAGATTACAATATGGTGAGTAGTCGGGAGTTATACAGGCATCTACTAAGAAGTCAATTTGCCATCACTATAGCAACTGGAGATTACAATTAACAAACTACAATGTCATGTATTTTATTGAAAAGTCCTATAACTAGTGAAATAATAGTGTCTAATGTAATAAGTAATCCCTAGAAAGTATTCACCACTGAAGTCAAATTGAGTGAAGTTCCGATTTATTCAGTGAACTAAGCAGGGAAAATAACTAGACATTCAGACAAATTGTCCAATCGAACAAGGTGAACGAAAACAGCTATAAGGTATTACACAGAAAGGTAGCACGCTTCACATTTAGTTGAAGTGAACTATGGAGATGATATTCCACAGGAACATTGTGTTTAAAAAAGTATTTCAGTGTACACACAAGTAGAATACCAGTTAGCAAGTAAAATAATATTTGTTTGCTTAATTTTAAATAAAGAAAAAATATTGGTTACAAGTTATACAATAAAAACGAAAGAAAAATCTACTTACAGTTAATGAGAGTACTGATGAAAGCAGGGTATTCACATCGTAACGAGCCAATTTCATAAGATTTCCTTCAAGTATTTTACCCATTTTATCATTTAATAATATTGCCATTTTTCGTTGAACCCGTTCTAAATTAGTTTCTGTTTGATTTTGATATTCATGCTATGTACAATAAAGTAGAAAAATGCATAGAAGTGTAATATGCAGAAATCAGTCAAATTGAATTCATCATAATATAATATTATATTTATAGTGCGATTATACTGGACTACTTTTAGTCAACTTAAATATCATGAGAACTCAATTGTTGATTATCTGACTAAGATACTCGAACTGTCAGGTAATACTAATACCTTTACAATGTTTCGAACGAATCTAAGAAAGCGACATCGACTCAATAAAAAAGGCATTCAGATCGTATATACACCTTTATATATAGCATAAACCCATAATGCAAAAGTTACAGAGTTTTAAGTATAAAGGCCTGTTGTTAGATTTTACATGGAGTTTCAATAGTTTACGCTGCAACATGTAGTTGAAAGTATCATTTCAGTAAATCACTAGAGTATTATGGTTAGATTTATAGAATCAGTTTTATAAGGAAATTTGAAGCGAACTGTAGAGAAACAAGATGAAGATACAAAATTAAGTTCGCAGATAACATTTAGTAGACACTATTGCACTAAATATATGCTATCAGTCAAAAGTTTAAGAAAATAACTCGCATCGCAGGAGTCGAAGTAATCCTGAAGTAGTTGTACACGAGGATAACACGTCATAGATAACATATTCCACAATAACGGACAGCAAAAAAAAGGTAGGCATAATCAGCACATCAATATTGAAGCACATATAAGGTAGACAATAAAAGTGAGAAGACTGGAAATTTCAAGGAATGTTTAATGCTTCAATTTATCATAGTATTCCAAAATATAAGAGAGAAATGGTAATGATGGATAGTGACGAGATCCAAATAGGAGGAAATGCGAATCCTAGATTCTTCTGCTAGCCACTATCCATAATTACCATATAGAATTAAAACACAGGTAATATCGAGGCATCCGCGCAGGAAGCTCATATGCCAACAGAGATCGATCAATTCGGTCCAGTCAACGACAGTATAATACAAACAATAATAATAAGAGAGGGATGATCAAATTGAGAAACGGTAACCGGAAAATCAGTCGTAGGCAATTGACTTCAAAATAAAGGAACTAGATTTGATTTATTCAGTAGTCCAGCAAAACATTTATCATCATTTTGGAATAAAAGTCTTCAGAGCAAAAATCAGTATATCCCCGCCCAGTTTGATCTACAGAGATTTCAAAAGTAACTTGAAATATTAATTTGAAGACAGTACTGATAAATTTCAAGAAATACGCATTGTTTTCAGTTTTACAGAAATCGAATTATTATGCAGAATAACGGCGAAACCAGTGAGTTATTTAGCACAGGAGAGAATCATTCTACGTAGAGTGACTACAAAAGCTCCCTTATTATCATATACATCCGTCGTGGTTAAGACGCTTACTATTCATCGTTATGCTCATCAAAATTAAAATTATGAAACATATTTTGAATAAAATAGTCAGTTGATTATTATTGTTCAGCTGTAAACCTGGCTCTTGGCAACTCTCATGTATAGATATGTACGGATATTACAGTTCCCTAAGAGATAAAGACTCGTTCCTCCAGGTTGTCATTATACATAGACAGAATACTTATTTCAAATAATTTTCATCAGGTTCCACAATTATAAAATGCATTTTGTATAGAGTAAAATCAAGCCAAGTTAGAAGTAAATACATATTTAAAATGGAGTGAGATTTAGGAATTGTAAAGAAACTGATGGCAATGGGAAAGAAGCCTTTGTTTCCGGGCTTACAATTCAAAAGAGATGCTCCAAGTGACATCCTATTACAATGCCTAGCTAGAATAGTTAGTAGGAGGTTTTATGTCGATCGGTTGTGCAAATCTTTCAATAGTCGGTCAATGCCCAATCTGAGACTAAAGGACAGCCTACCTATAACCTTAGCTCTTCATCTTGCATATGTCAATTTAACTATTCTTATGGAACAAGTTATATACAGCGTACGATTAGGCAGGTGCGTCTTTGAATACGAGAGCATTTACCGGTTTGATACGGAGAAAAGAGAAGTGAAATTGATGAGAAATTTCATTCTGGCACACCTTGTAGACAGAAAGCATCACATAGATTTAAAAAAGCGAAAACAATACCACATGTAACTCACTAACGCCTCCTCAATATAGCTGAGGTTGTCACCATACGACTGATCAAACTTTCTTAAACTGTGCATTCAGAAATATCATGTTCAAACGTTATTCATCCCTAAAAATGAATCCTTTTTTTTATTCATTGTCATTTCGATTACCGTCACATTTTTCGTC